TCCGTAATCCATTACAGGACCACTGCGTAAATGTAATATATAAAAAATTATATAGCGCCAATTTCCAAATTGGAACTGCTCAAAGGCGCGTTTGCAGGAGTCTGGTGGTCACTATGGCATTTTGATGTTGACGGGAATGTTGTTCCAAAGTATTTGTCACCAAGTGACATAGTTCCAGTTTGGGGCACAAACAGGAGCTGACTGTTTCCAGATCTGAGTTTTGTTTGATTGTTTGTTTGTTTGTTTGTTGTTTAACGCCCCAGTCAGCAATATTCTAGCTATATGACGGCTTTCTGTAAATTATCGAATCTGGACCAGACGATCCAGTCAGTGAAATCATGAGCATCGATCCACTTGCATCAATCAGGTCAGCGAGCCTGACCACCCGATCCCGTTAGTCGCCTCTTACGACAAGTATTTTAAATTCAATGCGCTTTGCGAATGGGAGCCAGCGAAGTAGAGGTGTAATATGTTTGTACTTTCTACATATTATTTTGAGTTTCTCCATTTTATGAAATAAACACAACAGTTTAATTGAATAATAATTCAATCTCCTCTGTGTCAGGTTTGATTTCCAACATTAGCAGAAACAATGTTCTAGTTTACGAAATGAAGCAACTGCCATGTGAAGATCAGCGTGCACAAGTCGACCCAATGCCATCAAAGTGTACCTGAAATTGATTGATGATACACTACAGATATCCTACTTGTGTTTAAACCTTGGCATCACAAAATGTATGTGTTCTCATGCCCTCACACTCGGGAGATCGCTTTGTGAAAACGCATCACGAGGATATTATATATATTTCGTCATTTTAGTTCTCATATTACTGACCCCAGAAGTGGGCAGGTTTCTGGTAGCTTGTAAGAGAGACCCCACTTTCGTTCTTTTGGAATTGAAGCAGAGAATGGATCAGTATTCTTTGGAGGAATTTTGTGGATCACAACAAGAACGCCATGTTGAACATAATATCCATTATCCTGCACTTAATCATGTCAATAAATATGAGGATTCATTCATGTAAAAGGACCTATATTATACAGGTAATTTGTGCAACGTGTAATAACGATGCAAATGTAAAACTTGCTATACTCTTTCATTATTGATTTCTATCATGTTTCCTGACAAAAACGTATGCCTGATACACATTCTTTAAATACTGTAGCAAAAAAAACTCAGCATTTTGGTATTTAGTATTGCAGGTATTAATTAAAAAGTGTTCTTTCATAAATAGTGGCTTCCATTGGGGCGTGACTGTTAAATCACCTGTACAAATCGGTTAGAATCGAGTATTAATCCAGTCATGATAAGATGTCCTATCATGAATACAACCAATTTAAAAGTTGTAATTCTCACATAATTCACAGTTTGTGATATTCAACTTTTAAAGGAAATAAACAATATCAGTAATTCTCACATAATTCACGGTACATGTATGTGATTTTCACCTTTTAAAGGAAATAAACAATAAATCTTTAGTCAGTTATGAGTTCATGTTGTTAAACGCACATTCAGCATTATTCCGCCTGTATACTGTATGTTGGGTACATCTACAAGCACTTAATTATTTCATCTGCATCGTCATCTATATGATTTATGTATATCGACATAATCTGCATCGTCATCTGTGTTAGGTACATTTACAGGCACATAATTATTTCATCTGAATCGTCATCTTCATGTGTTATGTTCATCGACAAGCACATATTTATTTCATCTGCATCGTCATCTGAGTTATGTACATCTACAAGCACGTCATTATTTCATCTGCATCGTCATCTGAGTTATGTACATCTACATGCACATATTTATTTCATCTGCATCATCATCTGAGTTAGGTACATCTACAAGCACGTCATTATTTCATCTGCATCGTCATCTGAGTAATGTACATCTATACGCACATAATTATTTCATCTGCATCATCATCTACGTGTGTTATGTACATCTACACGCACTTAATTATTTCATCTGCATCGTCATCTATATGATTTATGTACATCGACATAATCTGCATCGTCATCTGTGTTAGGTACATCTACAGGCACATGCTTATTTAATCTGCATTGTCATCTACATGTGTTATGAAGATCGACAAGCACATAATTTTTTAATCTGCATCGTCATATACATGTTTTATGTAGATCGGCAAGCACATAATTCTTTCATCTGCATCTTCATCTACATGTGTTATGTACATCTACTAGCACATAATTATTTAATCTGCATCGTCATCTACATGTGTTATGTACATCTATGAGCACATAATTGTTTTATCTGCATTGCCATCTATGTGTGTTATGTACATCGACAACACATAATTATTTCATCTGCATCGTCATCTATATGTGTTATGTACATCTACGAGCACAAAATGTTTTAATCTGCATCGTCATCTGAGTTTTGTACATCTACAAGCACGTAATTATTTCATCTGCATTGCCATCTATGTGTGTTATGTACATCGACAAACACATAATTATTTCATCTGCATCGTCATCTATATGTGTTATGTACATCTACGAGCACAAAATGTTTTAATCTGCATCGTCATCTGAGTTATGTACATCTACACGCACATAATTATTTCATCTGCATCGTCATCTACATGTGTTATGTACATCTACGAGCACAAAATGTTTTAATCTGCATCGTCATCTGAGTTATGTACATCTACACGCACATAATTATTTCATCTGCATCTTCATCTTAGTTATGTACAGCTACAAGCACATAATTCTTTCATCTGCATCGTCATCTATGTGTGTTATGTTCATCGACAAGCACATAATTCTTTCATCTGCATCGTCATCTGAGTTATGTACATCTACACTCACATAATTCTTTCATCTGCATCGTCATCTATGTGTGTTATGTACATCTACACTCACATAATTCTTTCATCTGCATCGTCATCTGAGTTATGTACATCTACACGCACATAATTATTTCATCTGCATCATCATCTGTGTTATGTACATCTACAAGCACATAATTATTTCATCTGCATCGTCATCTATAGGTGTTATGTACATCTACAAGCACATAATTATTTCATCTGCATCGTCATCTATATGTGTTATGTACATCTACGAGCACAAAATGTTTTAATCTGCATCGTCATCTGAGTTATGTACATCTACACGCACATAGTTATTTCATCTGCATCTTCATCTGAGTTATGTACAGCTACAAGCACATAATTCTTTCATCTGCATCGTCATCTATGTGTGTTATGTACATCTACAAGAACATAATTCTTTCATCTGCATCGTCATCTGAGTTATGTACATCTACACACACATAATTATTTCATCTGCATCGTCATCTGTATGTGTTAAGTACATCTACACACACATAATTCTTTCATCTGCATCGTCATCTGTATGTGTTATGTACATCTATACGCACATAATTCTTTCATCTGCATCATCATCTGTGTTATGTACATCTACAAGCACATAATTATTAATCTGCATCGTCATCTATATGTGTTATGTACATCGACAAACACATAATTATTAATCTGCATCGTCATCTACATGTGTTATGTACATCTATACGCACATAATTATTTCATCTGCATCGTCATCTATATGTGTTATGTACATCTACGAGCACGTAAATATTTAATCTGCATTGTCATCTGAGTTATGTACATCTACACGCACATAATTATTAATCTGCATCGTCATCTACATGTGTTATGTACATTGACAAGCACATAATTATTTCATCTGCATCGTCATCTATATGAATTATGTATATCGACATATCGTCATCTGAGTCATGTACATCTGCATGCACATACTTCTTCCATCTGCATCGTCATCTAGGTGTAATATACATCTACAAGAACATTACTCTTTTTTATCTGCATCTTAATCTGTAATATAATGTGTATGCATATACACAAATCCGAATACCCTTACTATTTGTAAATATTCAGTGTTAACGAGCTGTGTGAACATATATAGTTAACATATGAAGAAGACAAACATTCGAACACAACCCGGTGTATTTCAGTATCAGTTCATTTGGCAACGTAATTCCACCTACAGAACCACCCTTGTAGATCAGGGCCCACTTGCACAAAGCGATCTTAGCGCTAAGATGATCGTAACTCCCATACTTTAGCATAGGCTTACAATAGTCTTAGCGCTAAGATCGTTTTGTGCAAGTGGGCCCAGGAGTCTGCATATCCGTAAACATCCTGTTCTATGAATAACAGCTCCTTTGCCAAAGAAAATACCAATGCCACCCAAACTGTCGTAATTTACATGAATGGACCACTGATAACACCAGGCGAAAAGAGTCCGCATTTCCCCACCCTGTCGGCAGCATCCGCCATTCACACAATACGTAGACATTAATTTTCCAAATAATGCTGCAAAATGCTGATGTAAATGTGGTATATGTAACAGGTTGTTAATTACCTGATTATTTCAGAAGACGGGGATCAGTCACGAAATACGTAATCTCACTTGTCATATTTGTTGATCCTTCCACGTTCATGAAACCATCCAATGTCCAATGTTAATAAGAAGCATCGTCACTGCTAACACAAGTTGTTATTTCTAATACGCATGGCACAGAAAACTGAAAGTCTGGTGTAACTGCACACATTTAACTATATAATAAATCTATTATGTACATATTTATACGGATTCATCTGAATTCATCGCTATGTAATGTGTCAACGCATTAACACATTCATAGGCCAAACGGGAAATGTCCACATACATGTACACATGTAGCTTCTGCATTTTACGGGGGGCACGGGGAGCCCAGTCGTCTAAGGCGCCGCGATTCGCTGTGCAGTGTTGCGTCCCTTTGGCACGCCAGAAACCTATGATTGTGGGTTCGAATCCCGATTCGCCCCGATTATGTTTCTAGGTTTGTCAGCACCATACCCGTGCTCGTGGGTTTCACCGAAGTGGTAAACGTCTGAGACCTGCATCATTTCGGACTTTCCTCCCACATGAAGCTGACACGCCGTGATATAACTGGAACACTGTTAAAAGCGGCGTTAAACCCAACTCACTCACACTCACTCACTCTGCATTTTAGGTTTTACTGTATTGTCTGTTAAACTTCATTTGACGTATTTGTAGCAATGCAAACCGAATATAGCTGTGTGATCACAGTAATGAATACACTGTAATCTGGCTATAACATTGTTCTAGGTATACATGCATATGTCATAATTGGCTATCATCTTAAAATTACAAACATTATTATTGTGATTTTTTAAGATAGTTTCTCATTGTTTGAGCCAATCACATCACAATCTGCCTTGTTAATTTCCTTGTCAAGTATAGTTTCCTTGTCAAGCATAGTTTCCTTGTCAAGCATGGTTCCTCTGTCAAGCATTTCCTCAGCTTCCGCAGCCTCATCCCTCTGTATGTTTTTTGAGCGTCTCAATACATCGTACTTTGAGGGCAGAATTTCCCTGTCAAACAACACATCAGCCAACCGAGACACGCCGTAAATTACAGCAAACGTAATAAGACAGATGAAGGTCCTGTAAGGTAACCTCTGGCCATCAGTCTCTGTGTAGAACGGGAAGGGTATACAGGTGGGGAGATGGATGAGGGGTTCCCCGGCGCCTACCCGGAGTACAAACCCTGTGACGAAGCCAACCAGAGACCCGTATGCGTTGGCGGTGTTGGAGAAGAGAACGCTGACGAACTGGGGGAAGAGGATGACGTACATCAAGTCGGAGGAGAGGACGAACAGACCGTAGACACTCTTCCCAACGATGGCCAGTATGGTGGCTAACGCTCCGGCCACAATGATGGTCACTCGCATCACCCAGATCATTTCTCGAGGGGAAGCCTGCAACACGATTCAGTAATCGAAACAGCTTTTCAAACTTTGTATAAGTCGGTTTAGATCATACTTTGGATTGCAAGGGCGTGTTATGAACTCTAGCAATCTCACTCCCACCACATCGCTCCATACCTGCTTATACACTTCACGGTGGTCATCAGCGCGAAACTGTTACAATGTGGCGTCATCATGCTAATATGTGCATCGTCACGACGAGTCGATTGTACTGTATCATCAGCATGTGTTTATGAACCACCGTGAAATAGTTATGAAACCAGAGCGTATACTGTCTCGCCGGAAGCTCCGGTCGCAAACACACGCAAAGTCAAATCTATTGTTGACCTGAAAAAAAACACGGGAACATATGGTACAAGTCAAAATAGGGAATTGCATGGGACATCATTTGTATCACTGATGCGTCAAATTTAATACATATTATACATCTTTTTGAAAGCTTTACTGAGGCTTTGAATGTTGTAGCCAAACAAAAGAATGTCTGGTCCAGACTCAATTACGTACAGACCACCATCATATAGTTGGAATATTGCTTATTGTGGCGTTAAACCGTGAAGATAAAGAAAGCCCTCCTTGGTAGTATTAAGGTTTAGGGTTAATCTTTGAGACAAGGATTTGGTTGTACATTTGCAGGACCCAGCACTGTATCTATACTTGGAATTTAGTACAAAAGAGGAATGGAAATGTCTTTAGCTTTTCGAGTCAAGCCAAGAGTTGATAGTATCGGTGCTTGGTTTGGGCAGTTCTTCCTCATTTAATATAGCAACCTTATGTGTGGCATTATTTGATATGACACTCAGGGCAAGTTCGTAAATCAAACAATAAATGCAGTGATGCTGCACATTTGCCATTTATGTCGAGGGGCGGTCGGGTAGCCTAGAGGTTAAAGCGTTCGCTCGTCACGCCGAAGACCCGGGTTCGATTCCCGACATGGGTACAATATGTGAAGCCCATTTCTGGTGTTCCCCGCCGTGATATTGCTGGAATATTGCTAAAAGCGGCGTAAAACCATAATCACTCACTCACCATTTATGTCAGCCAGACTTTTGATGACAGCTGTCTGAGACTGAGTGAGTTTACTCCAATTCTGTTTCCTCTTTTTCAGTTTGAGCAGTCATCCAATGACAACACCACACACTGACTTAACCCACTCTGAACGACATTCAAAAGGTTCCTCTTCTCATTTAGCCCATTGATTGGCATATGCTTCGACAGAATCCATACGTTTTGTTCAAGTTGTGATCCCGATTGACAGGAGGCTGCTCACGATATTTTGGTCCATATTTGAATAATTGACGACGGTTGTTATTGTCCAGAGTGAGTGAGTGAGTGACTAATGTTTGCTATTCGCGGCGATATTGCCAAGAATAGACTATATATAGACTATATGTGATTATATGATCTACAGGTTGATAGCAGTATGAAGCGTCTTGGAAGCAACATGTCGTGGAATCTACATGAAGTCAAGGTTCTGCAAAACGTTCCTGCAACCTGGATGGAATGGTGTTCGTAAAGGAAAAGGAAATTGTGGTGGTTCCTGAAATTCGAAATATTGTGGGAAAGTTTGGAAAAGACACGTGGGCGGCTATCATTCTAAATGCATGGCTCAATCAATATTTTAGACAAATAAAACCCAACTTTTCCTGGCAAATGTTTCATTGATATCCTTAGGAGATACAGTGATTGTGACGTCATGTTTCTGTCACACGACAGTATCAGCGTTCATCAGCATAATACGTCGCGATAAACGTTTGTTCATGGCAGCCTGACCTTTTATCTTTGCTGGAGTATCACGTTTTGATGAGTCATGAGTTGGGTGATGGGCATAATATATACTTATGTATAACCTCATACATCAATCATTTAAACAATTAATAATCACATATTTTAGTCAGTTATTTCATATATGTACGACGCGCATGTTTTAAATTGCAACAAGTTCATTCCAACCACAAACACATATGTGACGTCATCCTCTTGTTTGATCGCTCAGGAATGTACAGTTGGTTGGCAATTATCCCTTATTTCATTATGTTGAAACAACAGTTCAATTAATTTACACGTAGAATAGACTTCGAACAGCTAGGCTCCAACATGCATCGTATGATTTGAAGATGTGTAACAGTCGACCTGAGCTACGGCGACACATTATCAACTATAAGTGAGTGAGTGAGTGAGTTAAAGTCTTACGTCACATCGGCAATATTTCAGCCATATTTGACATTTGTCATTAACAATATTTATTAAACTGTATAACTGCCGACGGAGGGCAGTATAATAACTAGAATATCACAGATTTACATAAAACTAGTTAGACAGCATGTAAAAATATATTATCATTTTGCAACACAATATAAAAACAGGCTATAGAACGCCAACAATTGCAACAATCAACTATTAAATATGTTCAAATAGAAGTATAATCAATTAACGTCGCGCTTATTATACTTTTTAGCGACGTGAATGCATGTGTGAGTGTGTTGGGGGGGGGGGGGGGGGGGTTGTTGTTTGTATCTGTCTGTGCGTCTTCTTGTACTAGTCTGGACAAACGCTGGTTTTATAGTGCTAGCCCAATGAGATACCATGTCCTAGTTTTAACATGGATATCCCACTCAGACAAAGCATACTCAGAGCTGATCAGTCCTTGGCTTATCTCTTTAATGCCTAGCGCCAGCCAGGATAACAACGAGTAACATATTTTGACCTCTTATGGTATGACGGGGCCGGGGATCCAACCCCGACCTTCCGCTCTCAGGTCAGACGCTCTATCTACTGGACTACGAAGGCGGTCTTCACCAACAACTCCCTTAATGTTAATGCTTTTACATAAACCTTTGACGAGACAGACTAAAAATCATACAAACATATATATCTTTGTTCATTGCTCTTTATTTACTACAACCCCATCAGCATGTTTTTGCAAACGTGCAAGTAATTGATAAACATGATCTTTTAAGGACCCAAGAAATTATGAAAAGCCATGTACTGTGGCGTACATGCATCAGCGGAAGTGAATATATGTTTCACAAACAGTTCTGTTTTATTTTTTAAATATTTTCCTCAAGAGGTTTTATCAAGAAGTCATAAGTGGTAGGAGCATATCCTAGTAACACTCCATTAATTAATAGGAAATTATCAACTTAATTCCATAATAAAGCATCATTCACGTGGTATCTTATTGTAAGTCACCTACACAAGAACCTTAATAAAAATAAAACTGTTTCATTATTAATAGCGTTGCTGCACAATGAATAGTATTGTACCCACAAGTTGTACTCTCGTTTCATATCACTGTGTGAATTTAATAGCAAATATAAACATTGATGCGCTCAATTCATCATATGTCCTTATTCAATGAAACTCAGCTATATGAATTTATTAACCATAATGATATACAGTTCCAATTACAACGCATGTATCTTATTGTAAGTAACCTACACAAGAACTTTAAAGCTTACCCGTGTGCGAATAAGAGTCTTGTAGATGTTCTTGGTAAAGACGGATGACGTGACGAGAACGCTGGAGTCTGTGGAGGACATGACCGCAGCGGAGACGGCACCCAGACCAACGATGGCGACGGGGAGGGGGCAGAGATACTGGAGGGACAGGGGCAGGATCATTCCCATCTGGCTTGGGGGGATAGGGACTTCCCCCGTGTAGGATGTGGCGTTCCAATCTGCAGCGTGAATGAATCTAATCATTATAAAATTGTGAAACCTTGGGAACTTAGCACCCAAGCCCACCATATCTATTGAATCAGTGTAATTCGACTGATCGAGAAAGACCATAAATGGTAACCTATTCTATCATACCAAGTGTCGTTGTTTCTGGAAAAGCCTGCCAGTCACAAACGTATAAGGTAGTAAATCTCTGTTCATTTCTTTATAAAATGTGAAACCTCAAGATCCCGACTTATGGCGTTATTCGTAGTTCAAGAAAAGTGGAGTGTGAATGTTACGATATTATGAATATTATGATATCATGATACTGGTTCTGTACCGAAGAGGGGGCACGGGTGGCCCAGTCGTCTAAGGCGCCGCGATTCGCTGTGCAGGGTTGCAGCAACAGACAAAAGATGCCAGCTATCATGGTGGACGACCTGGCCTGCTCGGGGGTCCGACACGCAAGTGCTCGCTGGTATACCTCCTGGAATATACGTTGTGGTTCTTTGTTTTGTGCTTCTCCTCAAATTTGTCAGGTTGGAACGGCTGGTTCAGCCCTCTTAACTGAGGGTCAAACATCTTCACGACTAGGGTGAGTTAATACTAAATACGTTGTAGAAATATCACTCGGGGTGTATGTGGTTTTATTCGTCCTGTGTTGGGTTTTATACCTAGAACTGGAGAATGCATGAGACCACATATACCCCGAGTGATCCTGCTAAAACAAATTTATCTTACCGACATAACTCAATCTGCCATTGAAAAAGAATTGAAACAAATCATTAACTCATAGAAAACAACTGATTGTGCTTGCGCGCACAGTGTGCAGTTTGGGCGTGGTAGCGGGTGCAAGAGATTTATTCTCCTTTTCAGAAATTCACGTGGAGATCACGTGAACCAGTTAGATCTCAACATTCTGACAAGGAGGTAGGATAAAAGAATGTGAGATAGGAGGAATGGAAATGACCTTTCTTTTAACAATAATACAATTATCGTGTGAAAAGAGAACTCACGAAAACACCCATACAGGGAGACCAATTGCCTTTTACAATTTTACTGCTATTCAAATATAATAAATGAATCAAATAGTTCTGCTTTTCGACCCGTGAAGATCCGGGGTAGAAATGGTCTTCAGCATTCCCTGCTTGCCGTAAAAGGAGACTAACGGAATCGGGTGGTCAGGCACGCTGATTTGGTTTATGCATGTCGTTGCATCCCAATTGCCATGCGCATGGTGTCAATCACTGGATTGTCTGATCCAGACCCGATTATTTATACACCGACGTCATTTACCTGGAATATTGTTGAGAGCGGCGTTAAACAACAAACAAATATTTTGATGCCCATGATGTCAATTACTGGATTGTCTGATCCAGACTCGATTATTTACATGCCGCCGTCATATAGCAGGGATATTGCGGCGTTAAACAACGAACAAAGAAACAATCTGCTTTCAGTCAGAATACACGACCTGCCATGTTGTTCCCCCAAGTGCGATGAGACAATAGATGTCAATGAAAATTCCTATTTGTTCAGGAAGTATCTCCCCCTGCCATTTGTCTTGAATCCGGCTGAGGTCAACCGAAGGGTGTAGCATGGCGAAAGGAGCAGCTATTGTCTGTAAGAAAACACAAGGATGTTACATGTTATATACAGTTATGTTGTAAATACGTATGTTATGAATCTGTGGCTGTCGTAATAATAGGGGGGCACGGGTGGCCCAGTCGTCTAAGGCGCCGCGATTCGCTGTGCAGAGTTGCGTCCCTTTGGCAAGCCAGAAACCTATGATTGTAGGTTCGAATCCCGGTTCGCCCCGATTATGTGTCAAGGTTTGTCAGCACCATACCCGTGCTCGTGGGTTTCACCAAAGTGGTCAACGTCTTAGGCCTGCATCACTTCGGGCTTTCCTCCCACATTAAGCTGAAATGCCGCGATATAACTGGACCACTGCTAAAAGCGGCGTTACACCCAACTCACTCACTGTAAAAATAGGATACAGAGAGGGTCGTCGTTGGACTGTTTCTAGACGAAATGTGTCATACATGGCCGCGTGAAGTCAATATTATGAACACACACGAACCAGCCGTCCCCGATTAGCGACAGTAGATTAGCCGTGACTGGCCTATGCCCTTATTATCGAGGGACGAACAATCTAGAAGAGTGATCTAAATATGTATTAAGAGTTAAATGTTAAGAAGGGCAATATTGATAACGTTAATAATGCCAGTTTTGCCAAATGCTAATGTCTGTTTAAACTATACCAGGTTCCTGAATTATATCTTGAAGTAAGATAAATCACTTGTTAATAATCACATGAAGATTCCGGGTCTTCAGCAACCCATGTTTGTCATAAGAGGCGGTTAACGGGGTCGGGTGGTCAGGCTCGCTGACTTGGTTGATGCATGTCAGCGTATCCCAATGCTCATGATATCAATCACTGTACTGCCTGGTCCAGACTCGATATTTTACAGACCACCGTCAATTTGCTGGAATATTGCTGACTGCGGCGTTGAACACTAAACAAACCAAATCACTTGTGTATCTTCCTTACGAAATAACTCTCTGTAAAACATACGTGTAAACCATGTTAATACTCTGGGGCTGAAGGCCTACATGCGAATACAATGTCTGTCCGGTATACCTGTGTGTCGTCGTGAACATTGGATGAAGTCAGATCGTATAGTATCCGTGTGATATCACATTACATCAACTGAGATATCTTCCACAAACGACAAAATGTATCTGTGACAAGTAAGGCATGCGAACCTCCCCTGGTCACTTACAAGGCCCACGGCCAAACATATGAGCTGGACAACGTCGGTGCAGGCAACTGACCACAGTCCACCCACAAAGGTGTACAGGACGGCGATGACTGCAGACACAATGATGGACATGGTCTCGTCCAGGTCCAGGATGATATGTACGGTTGCGCCTGTTTAGGACATAAACATATTACTAATTAATGTTATATATTAATATTATAAGGGTAACGCTATTTTTCAGGGCATTATCATTTGAAAAATAACGTTACCGCTAACCCTTGTAGCTAAAATTGAAGGAATTTGTTATCAAATAAAAAGAAACAACAATATCGGTTTTGAAACATTTACTGCAATCAACACGAATGTCACTGACCCACTTTTACAAATATGGAAACGTCATAGAACAAACCAGATGACGTCACTATTGAACGTGACGTCACCTATCCCTATCCTATGACGTCACCTAATGGGCGTGATAATGGCCCGTCGTCAAGCAATATGAGGACATTATCAAGTTACAATGGCCCGCTCATTTATGATAACATGCGGGCGGTTTAATGATTATTCTATCCATTTTAGCTATAATACCAATTAATGTTTGGAAATGGCTGCTTGAATCAACTTGAAGTCAACTTTTGTTTGTTTCACCAACATCCATGGACTTCGTTTTCTTACCACAACATGCTGCTTGCCTTGCTTTGTAGAATTATGGACTTACCCAGGGCTGAGAGAATGGCTGCTGACCAAAAGAGGTCAGCGAGGAACTGTGGGATGCACATCAGTGCACCGACACGTGCGCCGTATCGGTCCTGGAAGGGGTCAAACATCGTCACGTAGTTGGCACGTCTCATCTTTGGGCAGAAAAAGTAGCCACCTAAACACAACAATACGTGGACACATCATACAGTACTACCAGTAACTAGAGTATCACTGCTTGGGGGTAGATATACTTGTACTTATACATAGATACGCTGACACATTATAAGTTGTCAACTGACCATTTGGGGATTATGGTTGAATGGACTTGTGTATATGCGAGAGGTATCGGTTGACAACGAATTTATCTAACCGTCATTCATTCGTACAGATCCGAAATATATATCCTCAGTTTCTTGGAGATAGTAAAACCCGTAGCAGACGACGAAAACAAACCAAGTTACTTCCCCATTACCCAATGCATTCGGATCAAATCGGTTCTTTTCGGAAACTCAACGATACTTATGCGAAAAAAAGCGAGTTACCTAAGATGTGTTCCGATTGATTTACGTGAAATTTGTACCCCGCTTGTGAGCAGGGATATGGAAAAAATGCCCGCTCCTTAACCGGGTATGTTTATGAAAGATGAGATAAAATAACATATACTGATAATTTGGTATCTGGAACAGGTTACACTCGTTTGTGACTGTGGCACTGCTACATTTAGTATCATTCCCACAGTATCGACCCGGTCAGCAAACGGGTTATCACAAGAGTGAGTGAGTGAGTATGGTTTTACGCCGCTTTAGCAATATTCCAGCAATATCACGGCGGGGGACACCAGAAATGGGCTTCACACATTGTACCCATGTCGGGAATCGAACCCGGGTCTTCGGCGTGACGAGCGAACGCTTTAACCACTAGGCTACCTGACCGCCCCGGTTATCATAAGAATACAAGGAACGCCCGCACTCGCTTGCAACCTGTCATTTTTTCATTTTCCGCAAACACAATTGTCTTTTTAACATAGGACCGTTCGTGTACATACTTACAGATCATGAGAGAGGCTGAATACCAGAATGGAGCCTGGGTCCATGCTAATCCCTGCAGTGATATTATCTCAGCAGTGCCGTTGATGAACCCACCTCCGACCCAGGAAGCTACAGAAATACATAGACATGTTATTGTGTGTAAATAGGATAATTTAAACGCTGCAACCATGGTCCAACTTGTGATCACGTGCCGATTGCTGCCTGGGCTAGTAAAGAGGTTTCTTTGCTTTTTCTTTGTTTATTGTTTTACTCCGCACTCAGCATGCCATCTGTATGGCGGCGGTCGATAAATAATCGAGTCTGGATTCGATCAACGCAATTTGGGTACGTTGACATGCATTAACGAAGTCAGCGAGCCTGACCACCCGATCCCGTTAACCGCCTCATACGACAAGCATAGTCGCCTTTGCCGAATTGGTTGCTGAAGACCAATCCTACCCTGGATCTTCACGGGTTAGAGACACTAATGTGCCTATTTTAGTAATAAGACCTGATACTACTTTGATTAATTTACACAAAGTATTTTTATTTTTTTACGCATGCATTTTGAATCATCGTCCACGATCAGTGTTAGATAGATCTACATGTCCCATGCCACTGAAATAATTGCGCCACTGTTCCATTCACTACCATCATTACGTAATGTGAACCTCAGCAATGAATATCTGTACAACGATCTTTCCTAGAACGCGGGGTCGGTTTATGGACAGCGGTATATCGAGGGATCACTGTAGTAATAAGAGACACAGATGAGCCTATGTTACCTGTAATAGTGAATAGAGACACAACTGTGCCCATGTTTCTGTCTGCGAGGAAGACCTCTGTTAGACTTTTTGATTTGCTGCCCTTTCTTCCGGCGTAGATGCCGATGACGAGGATGAGGATGTAGAACGCCACAACAGAGATTAATCCAGGAATGTTGACAGCCATGATGCATATACACTGTTAATATATTAATGCCTGAAAAAAAGGAAACACGGGTAAAGAGACAACGCTTGGTCACAGACGTGGCCTACAATACCTGGCTGATAGATATTATACGACTCGGTAGCGCATTCGTTCTAATGAGCAAAAGCAAAAGCTTTACGACTGTGCGCGAATGTGAGGCTTAACTTGGTCTTTCAACTGAAGAATGAAAAGGCAGAATGCGTAACGGTCTCCAGCTCCGGGTCATGTTCAAGTCCTTGGTCTTAACACATATAATATATTCTCTCCGTGCTTGTATCTAATTGACGCCTGACTTATGATTTCAACACACGCACACTACTGCCGGAAGTTCATTCCCCTAACACGCGTTGAAAACGTGTGTAACACGCATGTGACACGGGTGCTCAACGGGTTGCACACGAGTTGAGCACCCGTTGAACCCACCCCACCTGCCGTGACCCAACCCCACCTCGAGCTCCTGTGACCTCCACCTCACACGCGGTACCACACACTCATCTTACATCAATACCCTGATATCCGTTCATCTGCACCTAGTTCCATCCACACATTGGTCTACTCACATTGATACATACACACTATTCACATTCACGCAAGACCCGTGAAGATCCGGGGTAGAATAGGTCAGAAGTTGGGGAAGTGATGTCACTCGTGTCTTTAAACAGACGTTTATATATATATATTTATATATATTTACATTTATATGGATAGAGAGAGATCTATAGAAATACGTGGTGTTTTACTCGTAGACGTAGATCGCTATTCATCCTTGCTTTGACTACCCTCTTCACCACAACAACAAAAAACCTCCTGGAGGATTTTACGTGCCGCTTCTTTTCCTTTTTTTTCATTTACGAGCACTTCTTATATCCTCCTCCTCCCCGGAACCGGATGTGACGTCCTCTTGGAGGCGCACGCCTCTCGGAACCGGAAGTGCCACCATCTTGGATGCGCATGCAACCGAAAACGGAAGTGCCGCCATCTATGATACGCACGCATTACCCACAATGCCCTGCGCAGGTCACGTGACCACAACCGGAAGTAGTCCGTACCAAACTCATGTCCCCAACTACTAAGGTCTTCAGCAAGCCATGGTTGCCGTTAAAGGCGACTATGCTTGTTGTAAGTGTCGACTAACGGAATCGGGTGGTCAGGCTCGCTGACTCGGTTGATGCATGTCATCGTGTCCCAATTGCGTGAATCGATGCTCATGATATCAATCACTGGGTTGTCTAGTCCAGACTCGATTTTTTGCTGAGTATTGCTGAGTATTGCTGAGTGCGGCGTTAAACAACAAACCAACCAACACATTCACACAAAATATTATTGTTTAAAACAATACAATGTACATGAACACATACTATAACAAATAGTAAGTGTGGATGGAACTAGGTGCAGATGAACGGATATCATGGTATTGATGTAAGATGAGTGTTAGTACCGCGTGTGAGGTGGAGGTCACGGGAGCTCGAGGTGAGGTGGGGTCACGGCAGGTGAGGTGGGTTCAACGGGTGCTCAACTCGTGTGCAACCCGTTGAGCACCCGTGTCACATGCGTGTTACTCACGTTCTCAACGCGTGTAAGAGGAATGAACTTCCGGCAGTAGTGTACGTGTGTTGAAATGCGTAAAAGAATGTTGGTGCGGAAACAGATGCGGAAACCGTGATGGAATCGCGTTACTCAATAAAATACATAAGCCGCCGTTTTACTAGTTGTTCTTAATTACATTGTAACAATTATTCTTTTCTTGACAGCAAAGAATGAATTTATATCACAAATTAGATTTTATCATATCATGAATTATTCTATATCGCAAATGTTAACATATCACTAAATGCATTTATTATATCAACTAATGTATTTTATCAGACAGATCGAATTTGTGTTATTTTGTATATCAAAGGTAGTTTTTACATCACAAATTGTGAGAATTACATTCGCTGGTGTTTTATCAAAAGGTAGATATAACACATCTAGTCTATCAACCAGTTATTGTAGGCCACGTCTGTGACCAAGAGTTGTCTCTTTACGTGTGTTTCCTTTTCTTCAGGCATTAATATATTCACAGTGTATATGCATCATGGCTGTCAACGTTCCTGGATTAATCTCTGTTGTGGCGTTCTACATCCTCATCCTCGTCATCGGCATCTACGCCGGAAGAAAGGGCAGCAAATCAAAAAGTCTAACAGAGGTCTTCCTCGCAGCCAGAAACATGGGCACAGTTGTGTCTCTATTCACTATTACAGGTAACATAGGCTCATCTGTGTCTCTTATTACTACAGTGATCCCTCGATATACCGCTGTCATCAGAGTCTTCCGGTGAATGTTTGTGACTCAACATTTAGAGATTTTTCAGGGGAAGCTTTTCGATAAAAGAAGCATAAACTGTTCCTGATGGTATATCTATAATCATTATAGTTCGTGTCGACAGGTAGAGTTTCGTAACAATTACATATATAAATTATATAGTCATATTCAGATGATGTCTTTTCATGTATGTAATTTCTCCTCTATATTAAATTAGTTTTCCTCCTGGCTCTTCTGGGCATGTGGAACATAAGCTTTAGAATTACAGATGTATATTGTTATTGTATTTTAATGCGATTTCTTATTATTTACCATCTTACTTTCTACACATTGTACATGAGACGTTTTATATCTAAATATCACCATTAATTACAATTATTGATTGTAACCTCAACACAATTGACAAATATGCTAAAAGACATGATTATAAACTTTTAATGTACGTTAAAAAAACAATCGAATCGTTCATGTTTGACCTTCACTTTGTGTGAGTTCATTGGAGCATGAACCTTCACAGAGTGAGGGCCAAACTGTATGAACGTCGGATTCAATAAATAAATAGAACACATTTTTGTCTTTAATAAAGTTTAATACTTTGCAACAATTCATAAACTGCAGTTAAGAATATTTTTTTAACAAACATTGGTGGAATGGAAAAGCAGTTTGGCGGTGAAGGACTTTGCAAATCGTGAGAGCGGAGGTCGAGACGGAATTTGTGTCGCAAGTTTATTGTTTACCAGCGAAGTTAAAGTTGAAGTGGCAGTTGTGAAAACTACCTCTCGACATATAGTTGCCGGATTAAGGGGCCACCTGTGACGACAGGTTTTGAAACATTGACAAATGCTGAGCTGAATACTGTGCATCATCACCTTATGTGGCGGACTTGAAACCGTCGCAGATGGCTGCCGATTGGCGGCTTCCCCAAATCCAATGTTTCGAAATACAGAACTAACCTTGTACTGTTGGTCAGAAGAACAACTTCTGTTGTAGCTTCTGACACTTGCCTCGTTCCTGTGCCCTGACATAAACATGATGTGGCATAATTCAACGGAGGCGTCGCTCAACCTTTGAAAAGCAGTAGCCCTGACACTGTGTGGTGTATAGATACGGCTCGACCCGGCTTCATTAGAAATTGTACGGATTATGTTCCCGTATTGGCGTTGGGAGAGGGGTTTAGAAGAGAACCACACATTATCACCAATAACTGCATTTGATTTTGAACACAGTGCAGACTGACTGCATCAGGATGGGATTTCTCAATCAGCAATCTTTTGTGACTTTACGGGACAATTATGTGTGCCTGTCGCATACATGCGTTTATCAGCCGCATGCATACCTTTCACCATCATCAATACTCCCTGGTTAGTTTTTTCCTGCTACGTCATTGGTAAGAGTTGCAAATTCTCTGCCTTCATTGTCAACTTTAAACGTGAACGAGCTTTTGGACATCTGAGAGTGACGAAATGAATGGCTACGTCAAACCAAACTTTCTGCTAAACACATGTTGGAGTATCGTGATTAAGGCATTCTTTGTTTTAATTATATCTCCCTTGTCAATGATCGGCTTGTGCTTCGTTTGTTTAAACAAGCCAGCTCTGACGTTTTGTTTCAGTTGACCATTCAACAAATCATTAGCCTTGTGGAATGCCTTATCTTTCACAAAGTCAATATCTCTCCCGATAACCCTGAGATGCCCAGACCGAATGTTCCACATTGTGTTTTTGTGATAAACATCATCAGACTTAGACTTTGTTCTCGGTCAAGTCTCAGCATAAGAGAATCGCAAACGTGTGGCAAGCTCTTCTTGAGATAAGTTAACCCAATCTGTTTGGATTTTACATGTTAAGAAGGACCAGTCTGAAATGAAAGGTATGAGTATATATATATATATATATATATATATATATATATATATATATATATATATATATACTTTTATGAATGTTATAGAATTGGACTTTTGTAGGTTGGACTTGTATCATTGTTTATCGGGTGTACGTAACATGTAGAATGTTTTATTGACGATTGTGAACATTATTGAGCGAAACCATAACATTAATGCGTGAGTTAATGTTTAAAATAATTTTGCAATTTTACACTATTTTAACCCCCTTCGAGGATATAGCCACTTACAATCTCAGTTATTGATTCATACTACCAATAGTAAAAGTTTATTTATTTACAAGAAACATGGTCATCAAAATTTATCAATCAATCTACTTTAAAAAAACAAGTAAAAAATGAGAACTTATCTGATTAAAAAGATCCTTTATGGATGAAACTTGGAAACACTAATCCCTTGTGATGGAAAAATCAATACAGTCAAGCAGGACATGCTTGACCTTGATTCTTTCATCACAAGGGTTACAGAACGGAGGATCTTCACCTTTTGATAGATACTCATGTGTATATCTCGAGTGGCCAAAATGACCTCTTCAAATCTGGACTGACAACCCAAGTAGGTGTAGCCAATGGTTGGTTTAATTTCATGTAAGTTATTCACACTTGCTTGGGTGTCCCACTACTTTTTCGTGAGATCTCTGATATAACATCTGATCACTGGCTTATAATCGCTGTATGGAATCAGAAGTGGTGTCACAGATTTGTTGAGTGTTTGCTTTAGCTGCAGAATCGGCCTATGAGTTACCATTTATACCAACATGGCTCAGTAACCAGCAAATAATGATGTTGTATTGGCCAGTAGCACGATCATTAAACAATTCAACAATTTTTATTAAAACTGGATGTGTACAAGATAGAATTTTAATAGCTTGAAGGCAAGAAAGTGAGTCTGAAAATATGATTAATTGTTTATGTTTTGATTGGTTATTTATATATCCCTGTAATAACTTGAAGTCTTT